TATATATATATATATATTCATCGTGGCCATAGAGCTAGAAGTTGATTGAGGAGGCATTGCTTCTGTATGATGTGCCATGTGATCCTACTCTGTAGATCCTGCTCCCCCACCAGCTCACTGACTACCTCATTAACTGTTGTCAGATAGGTCACATACTTCAGAAGCAACAGCCATTTGACACTCCATGATCCATAATTTCCCAAGACAGGCTTTAAGCGCCAATGTCTGGAGCGATGCAGCTCATGGCTGCAGCGTTGTGTTGAAAGACACCCTATTAACWTTTTTTTTTAGTTTATTTGAATCTGTCACACAAGTCTGCTCTTGCTGGAGCCAGTGATAGTAAAGTTAAATAAGATTTCAATAGAACAGAGTTCCTTTTAACAAATATGCACAATGGATCACTATTTGACCATTGTTCATTTGATCTGCTTCTCACAAGGGTATTTCTGTCAGGATTAAGCTACTCGATAATATTTTCAGTCATAACATGGCAGAAAAAGTCACATTCACCTAAATATTTTCTCGCTTGAATGCATACATTTTTAAAATAAAAATATTAAAATTCAAAGTTATATTCAGAAATCAAATTGGTTTTTTTAGCTGTAAAATTTGTTGTCCTTTGTACTGGATCYTTGCTATTTTCAGGATATGATTTAAGATAATGTATGCTTAGTAGTTTAGGACAGCAAAAAACAGCAAATGTTTATTTTATTATTATTATTTTTACACCTTTAAGATAAAAAAAAAAGGGAAAACGATTACTAAAACCCCCTCTGGCATGTATTTCAGCTTGTAACTGCTTTTTGGTTCACTTAAATAGAAAATAGGAAATATTACAAATTTTCTCCGTAAAACCTTCCTTATTATTTTAGATATTTTTGAGGTTCTTGTTTTTCTCTTTCGCAAAAGGTCCACTAAATGGCATAGCTGATGTRAAGGTCCGTAAGACTTACTGGAGACCATTAAAAATGACTCATCACTATAAATTAGATGCTGATGATTGTGATGCAGACTGAGCCCCATTACCCTGTTGTAAAAATCCATCATTTTTCATCATTTTGTTTTTCATTTTGAATAGTCTAACATTTGCATTTGAATTCATCCTCTCCTAAATATGGCTCATGCAAATGGCTGCAACTCAGGCTSAAATTATAATCAACCAGCTCTCACGCTTAAAAGGTGAAGAGCTGCTCCCTGCATAAAATTCACACATAGTGCAGAAAACCTGTTACCTACTTTAAAAATTTGTCTGTATGATATGTTTTCTAAATGCACAGACCTTGTTAAGATGTATTTATATACAGCGGGTAAAATAAGTATTGAACACGTCACCATTTTTCTCAGTAAATATATTACTAGAGGTGCTAATGACATGAAATTTTCACCAGATGTCGGTAACAACCCAAGTGATCCATACATGCAAAGAAATCAAACCATAAATGTCCATAGATGAAGTTATTTGTAATAATGTGGAATGGCACAGGGAAAAAGTATTCAACACATGAAGAAAGGGGGGTGTAAAAAGGCATGGAAAGCCAAGACACCAGCTGAACTCTCTCAGTAATTAGAAAYCAAGCCTGCCCCTTGTCAGTACAAGTTAATATCAGCTGGTTCAGTCCCAAATGATGGCCAGGTATCACACAAGAACCATCTGATGATGGGTAAAAGTAAAGAGCTCTCTCAAGACCTTCACAACCTTATTGTTGCAAAGCATAATGATGGCATCGGTTACAGAAGAATGTCTAAACTTCTGAAGGTTCCAGTGAGCACTGTTGGGGCCATAAATCAGAAGTGGAAAGAACATTATTTCACCATAAACCGACCACGACCAGGTGCTCCTCACAAGATTTCTGACAGAGGAGTGAAAAGAATTATCAGAAGAGTTGTCCAAGAGCCAAGGACCACTTGTGGAGAGCTTCAGAAAGACCTGGAATTAGCAGGTACGWTTGTTTCAAAGAAAACAATAAGTAATGCACTGAACCACCATGGCCTGTYTGCACGCTCACCACGCAAGACTCCACTGCTGAAGAAACAGCATGTTGAAGCTCCTTTAAAGTTTGCTGCACAACATTTAAGCAAGCCTGTGTAATACTGGGAGAATATAGTCTGGTCAGATGAGACCAACATTGAACTGTTTGGATGCCAGAATACACATCATGTTTGGAGGTCAAATGGCACTGCACATCAGCCCAAAAACACCATACCAACAGTGAAGTTTGGAGGTGGGAACATCATGGTGTGGGGCTGTTTTTCAGCATATGGTACTGGCAAACTTCAAATAATTGAAGGAAGGATGAGTGGAAAAATGTACAGAGACATTCTTGATAAAAATCTGCTTCCATCTACCAGGATGATGAAGATGAAACGTGGCTGGACATTTCAGCAAGACAATGAGCCCAAACACAAAGCCAAGGAAACTCTCAGTTGGTTTCAGAGAAAGAAACTAAAGCTGCTGGAATGGCCCAGCCAATCACCTGACCTGAATCCAACAGAAAATCTATGGAAAGAACTAAAGATCAGAGTTCATAGAAGAGGTCCACGAAACCTTCAAGATTTGAAGACTGTTTGTGGAAGAATGGGCCAAACTCACACCTGAGCAATGCATGCCACTAGTTTCTCCATACAGGAGGCGTCTTGAAGCTGTCATTGACAACAAAGGCTTTTGTATAAAGTATTAGATAAATTTCAGTGTGTTCAATACTTTTTCTCCGTGCCATTCCACATTATTACAAATAACTTCATTTCTGGACATTTATGGTTTGATTTCTTTGTATGTATGGATCACTTGGGTTGTTACCYACATCTGGTGAAAATTTCATGTCATTAGCACCTCTAGTAATATATTTACTGAGAAAAATGTTGACGTGTTTAATACTTATTTTACCCGCTGTATAATATCAGTAACCACTGTTTGTTTTAACTAACATTTCTTCATCACATTTTTTATTTGCAATGTATTAATTTAGACTGGAAGGTTTTTTAATCTGTCATTTTTCGGCCACTTTAACTTTAAACAGACACACAAATCATAAAAAGTGACTACTTTTGCAAGGCCTTTTATATAATGTAACAA